CTCCGTGATCATCTTGGTTTCTCTTTCTTTTCTAACTTCCTGTCTGTCCTTTTTAAGGTGCAGAAAACAGATTTATTATACAAAGTGTTCCAGGTTCAGATACATCATGATTTGGTTCAAGACTGTGTTAACAAATTCAATTTGGGCTCTGATACTGCTGCTGATGAAGGCCATCATTTATCCTAGCCTTCCTGGCTGTGCAGCACTTGGGCTGACATCTTTAAAAGTAATCTACTGTGATTTTAAGATGCTGTTCCTGCATGGTAATTAATGGCCTCTGGCCCTTAGGCCTGCACAGTTAGGTTTGCTTTTCTTTGTACGGATTATGGAAGGTGGTAATAATCTTGTAAGGAGAGGATCTATGTTCCTCTTACTTCTCTCCAGTTCCCTAGCGTAACCAGCTGAGGAGGTCTTCCAGCAGAGTTCCTGCCCTGATTTTTGTATTTTACTACACAGATTTCATGACCTCATACTCATTTGAGGACTTGTGTATTCATCTCGGTGTTTGCTAATCTAGACCTTGGGAAGCAGTGGTGATGGCTCAGGTAATTGGGTTCCTGCCACTCACATGAGACACCTGGAGTGAATTCCAGTCCCAGCCTTTGTAGGCATTTGGGGAATGAATCAGCAGATGGGAGCTCTCTTTGTCTCTCTTTGCCTTTCAAATGAATAAACAAAATTTTAAAAACTTAGATTCTCTCTGAAATATTTTTTTATTTATTCAAAAGGCAGAGCTACAGAGAGAATCTTCCATCTGGTGATTCTCTCCCAAGATGGCTGCAAAGGCCATGGCTGAGCCAAGCCAAAGCCAGGAGCATGGAACTCCATGCAGTCTTCCACGTGGGTGGCATGGGCCCAAGCACATGTCCATCTTCCACTGCTTTCCCAGGCGTATTAGCAGAAAGCTGGATTTGGAAGTGGAGGAACCAGGACTCAAAATAGCACTCATGTGGGTATAGGCATCACACGTAGTATCTTAATCCACCACACCACAATGCTGGCTCCTCCCTCTAAAATTTTAATAGAAATCAGTGTGAAAATGACTAAATTGCCTATATTTGTGTTCAAAAGCATCTTTGGGATCACCTTGTTATGTGACTCAAAGGACTTGGTAAATTTATTGTTTTCTAAACTCTGGGGGAGGATTATGTTATAAAAGTGGAAGGAGGGAAGAAAACTAACATTTCCTGGGCACTGTGTGTGTTTGCAAGTCTGCATGAATGGTAGCACTCTCCAGGAATTGTGCCCGAGGGCTTTTGAGTCATCATTCCATTTAAACCTCCCAGCCCCCTTCAGGTGGCTTATTTCTTAGCATATCCTTGTACATGCACATCAGAAAGACACAGAAGGAGGGCCGGCGCCGTGGCTCAATAGGCTAATCCTCCACCTTGCGGCGCCGGCACACCGGGTTCTAGTCCCGGTCGGGGCGCCGGATTCTGTCCCGGTTGCCCCTCTTCCAGGCCAGCTCTCTGCTGTGGCCAGGGAGTGCAGTGGAGGATGGCCCAGGTGCTTGGGCCCTGCACCCCATGGGAGACCAGGAAAAGCACCTGGCTCCTGGCTCCTGCCATCGGATCAGCGCGGTGCGCCGGCTGCAGCGGCGGCCATTGGAGGGTGAAACAACGGCAAAAAGGAAGACCTTTCTCTCTGTCTCTCTCTCTCACTGTCCACTCTGCCTGTCAAAAATAAAAAAATAAAAAAAAATAAAAATAAAAAAAAAGACACAGAAGGGTTCACGGTGCACACTGAGTCTGTTGGGCAGCCCATCCTCCAGTCAGCTGGCTCACCTTCCAAATCATGCTGCTGGAGCCTCTTTCTCTTTTTAAAAAAGTTTTATTTATTTGAAAGGCAAAGTTAGAGAAAGAGGTCTTCTATCTACTGGTTTACTTCCCAAATGGCCACAATAGCCATAACTGGACCAGGCTGAAGCCAGGAGCCTGGAGTTTCATCCAGATCCCCCACATGGGTGCAGGGGCCCAAAGACTTGGAGCATCTTCTCCTGCCTTCCCAGGTCATTAGCAGGGATCTGGATCAGAAGTGGAGCAGCCAGGACTCTAACCAGTACCCATATGGGATGCTGGTCTTGCAAGGCAATGGCTTAACACGCTGCGCCACAATGCCAGCCCTTCATGTATTCTTTCTACGAGGTTCTATGAATACATTCACCTCATCACGTGTAAATATGTGTATATGTTTTAAAGACTTCTATAAAAATTCTGTCATACATATAGCTCTGCATCTTTTTTCCATTACCCTCTCTGTTTCATGTTGATATAGGACTGCCTTATTCATTTTAAAAGATGTACTGTAATTTATTTAACCAGTTACTTGTTAATAATAATCATTTTCTCTTTAGTAAGTTTAGCTTATTTATATTTATTAGAATAACTGATATATTTGGTTTGGTTCCATTTTTAATATTTTCTTTAAAAGTCTTTCATCATATGGACTGTATTTGTTTTGCAGGGACATATATGTTTATATTCTGATAATTTTTATTCTGGTGATTGTGTTTCTAAGTAGAGATTGAGTATTCTTTATCTAAAATGTTTGGGACAGAAATGTTTTATTTAGATACCAGGTTTTGTCAGACTTTGTGAAATATGCATATATGTAATGAGATATATTAGGGATGGGACCCAAATCTAAACATGCAATTCATTTATACAGTTCTTACACACATAACCTGATGGTAGTTTTATATAATTTTAATAATTTTGTGCATGAAACAATGTTTCATAGTGTAGAATTTTCCCATTGTGCTGTTTATGTTGACACTGAAAATGTTTCAGGCTTTGGATTTTTTGATTAGGGTTGCTCAAACTGTAAAACATCATACTATATTTCCTCAGACAGTATCTATTGACTCCCTACCATGAAACTAGTAGTTATATTTCTTTCTTTTTTCTTTTTTTTTTTAAGATTTGTTTCTTTATTTGAAAGGCAGAGTTACAGAGAAGCAGAGGCAGAGAGTGATACAGAGAGCTCTTCCATCCACTGCTTCACTCTCCAGATGGCCGCAACGGCCAGAGCTGTGCCAGTCCGAAAAGCCCCGAGCTTCTTCCAGGTCTCATGCAGGTGCAGGGGCCCAAGGACTTGGGCCATCTTCTACAGCTTTCCCAGGCCATAGCAGAGAGCTGGATCGGAAGTGGAGCAGCTGGGACTCGAACCGGCACCCGTAGGGGATACCGGCACTGTAAACAGAGGCCTTACCAGCTAGGTCACAGCGCCAGCCCCAGTAGTTATATTTCTTGCCCCTTTCTTCTCCACCTGCTTTTGGTTGAGCATACTCGTTTTCTTAGTTTTACTTTCTATCTTAAAGCATACACGTGCCTCTCCTTCTTGAGCTATCAGCTTTAAGTATCTTGTATGCCCTGGCCCCCATTTCCTCCATTCCCCTTCTAACATGTGTCAGTTACATTGCTTTTGCATTCTCTTCTGCGCCACACAGGTTCAGACTTCAGACTCAGCTCTGAGGGTAGGCCAGCTCACCACCCTGTGCCCGTGCTCTCGCGAGGTCTCTCCGTTCGTCTCATAGTTCACTGACGTTTGCCCTGTCCGAGGTTCTTCAGGTAGCAGTGAGGAAAGCACATTCCCTGAGTCCTTGCATGTTGAAAAACGTGTTCTGTCCCCTCTGTGCTTGACCATGAGTTTCGCTTGGCACGGTTATTCCCACATCACTCTTTATTGCTGTTAATTGTGGCGTACTCCCTACAGGGCTGGTGGTATGATGGCTTGATGAATGGCCACAAGGTGGATGCCCCGGAAACCCTGTGTCCGCTTTGAGTCCCTTCTCTCCCCCTGAGAGAACCACACACTTCTATGTTAATTACCCCTTGCTTTCTTTATGTTACAAATATGCGTTCTCTAAACAATGGGAATTATTTTTGAAGTGTCTGTCAGTAGACTTGTCAAGTATTACCCTTTTATACGATGCTTCTTTTGTCCAACATGACATTTGTAAGCTCCATCCACATTGTTATGTGCAGCCCTGCTTCCTGTATAGTCATCAATGTATAGTTTTTTTTTAATTAATTAATTTATTTGAATGTCATAGTTACACAGAGAGAGAAGGAGATGCAGAGAGAGAGAGGTCTTACATCCGATGGTTCACTTACCAAATGGCCGCAATGGCCAGAGCTACACCGATCTGAGGCCAGGAGCCAGGAGCTTCTGCCTGGTCTTCCCATGCGGGTGCAGGGGCCCAAAGACTTGGGCCATCTTCTACTGCTTTCCCAGGCCATAGCAGAGAGCTGGATCGGAAGTGGAATAGCCGGGTCTTGATCCAGCGCCCATATGGGATGCCGGCACTGCAGGCGGCGGCTTTACCCACTAAGCCACAGCGCTGGCCCCAATGTATAGTGTTCTGTTTCCGGAACATATTGCAGCTTCTTTCTCTCTTCAGTGTTGATGGACATATGAGATATATCAAGTTTGGGGCTTTGAATAGCTTTCTGTATGTCTCCTGATAGATATATGCATATCTTTCTCTTAAGACACATTTATGAGAGTGAAAAACTGGGTCTTAGGGTATGTATGTTTCATTCTTCCTAGAATGACAAAACTGTTACTTTGAAGTGATCCTGTCACTTTACATCCCACCTGCAGTGTGTGAGAGCTCATTGGGCCACCCTTTCTTTGCAATATAGTGTGGCTTCATTGCCTTAGTCCAAGGAACCTTTAAAGTAGGCAACGTTCATGTTTTACAGATGAGAAAACAGGCTCAGAGTAGTTAGATAACTCTGCACTTTCATGTTGGATACCAGATCTAACATTTGACCTCTGCCCTCTTTAAACTAAAGTCCATCATCAGGGAAAATGGACGTTATCAAAGACTTCTTAAAAAGAGTAGATGATTATCTTTGGGGGATGGCTCGAGTGTTTAGCTGGTCTTGGAAGTAACCAGCTTCTCAAAGTCCTGTCCAGTTTTGTGATGTGGATGGTACTGAGCCAACATATTTAGTTTCCTGACAGGTTACTTTTCCCTTTTTTCTTACTTTTAGCATCCAGCCTGTATATGGAGCACAGCACCCTCCTCTGGACCCTCGGCTCACCAAAAAGTAAGTTGAGGCACTTTTCTTTACCTCCCTCCCTCCCTCCCTTCCTTCCTCCCTCCCTTCCTTCCTTTTAAAGATTTATGTATTTGAGAGGCAGAGTTACAGAGAAAGGGAGAGACAGAGATCTTCCATCCACTGGTTCACTCCCCAAATGGCCACAACGGCCAGGGCTGGGCCAGGCTGCAGCCAGGAGCCAGGAGCTTCTTTTGGGTCTCCCACATGGGTGCAGGGGCCTAAGGATTTGGGCCATCTTCTACTGCTTTCCAAGGTGCATTAGCAGAGAGCTGGATCAGAAGTGGAGCAGCTTGGACATGAATCGGTGCCTGTGTGGGATGCTGGCACTGCAGATTTAACCCACTTCAGCACAGCGCCAACCCCTAGGCATTTTTCTTTTTATTCACCTGCTTCTTCCATCACCTTCATAGATAACTCTGCAATTTCTCCTTTTTTGTTGAATGATCATTCCCACCTTAACCTTTTCTTGCTTCTCCTCTGCCCTGTTTTGGACCAAGAAATTAATAATCTTTCTACCTCCAAATGGTTTATTGCTAAATGGGAAACTAGCTGACATAGGAATTTTGTGTTTTCCTATAGTGGGAGCTGGTATATGGAGGATTTGGCATTGCATGCGCTCTTCTTGTTAAAAGGTCTTTATTGATTACATGTTGTCCCTGAAAGGCAGATGACGGATGACCCTCCCAGATCTCCTCTCAGGGCATCTGTTTTCTGGGACTCACTGTTTCTGAATATAGGTGGGTCTGCCACTTTCCCCTCACTTAGGGAAGTGTGAGAAGTAGGGCAAATAGAATATGGCTGGCATTATCCAGGCCCTGTTATTCCTTGACATACTCAGTAGACTCCCTAGAGGCTATTTCTCTAGCAAAACTCTAATAAATTATTTTCTAACACAGCCAGGGCCCTAGTGAAATCCAAGATGTGTGGGTGTATCTGTCCCCCCAGGGTGTCACATTATCCCACCTCTCTCAAGGGCCGTCACTCCGCCATAGTGAGTTAAATAAAGAGGTAGATCAACTTGAGTTTTTTAAAAACTTTGGGCTCTATCTTTGGGCATGTTTAATCTCAGAGCCTTGTTTCTGAGAAAGCTGTACTTTGTAAGGTAAGCTGAGTGATTTAGGAGGAACACACCCAGGTTTTCACTCTCTTGGGGCCTGTGTAATAATCTAGTTCTTTTTTTCACAATGGAGAAGTAAAGATAATTTATAATTAGGATTCTAACTATGTGACATTCTGGAAAAGGTGGAATTGGAGATAGTGAGAAGATGAGTGGGAAGGGCATTTGGTGCAGTGGGTAGGATGCTGCTTGGGATGTCTGCACCCTGTATCAGGGTGCCTGGGTTTGAGTCCTGGTGCCACTTCCAATCCCTACTTTTTGCTAATGTGTATGTACCATAGGAGGCAGTGGTGATATCTCAGTGGTTGGGACCCTGCCACCCATGTGGGAGACCCAGTTGGAGATCTCAGCTCCTGGTTTGGCCTGGCCCAGCCCCAGCTGTTGTAGGCATTTTGGGAGTGAACCAGCAGATGAGAGATCTCTGTCTGTTTCTTTCTGTTTCTCTGTCTCATAAATAAACAAGTAAAGACAAGAAAAAGGATCAGGGGGTAGAGGATGGATGAATAGGTGGAACACCGAGGATTTTTAGGGCAGTGAAAATACTCTGTATACTGTAATACTAGAAACACTATGTATTTGTCTAAAACTGTGAATGTACAACACCAAGAGTGGGTCTCCCGCAGTCCGTGGGCTCTGAGTGACTGGGATGTGCCAGGGTATGTCCGTTGTGACATACGGACCCTGTGGTAGGGGATGTCAGAATGGGGGAGGTTGTTCAGTCAGGGAAGGAAAACGCTGCCTTCCTCTTGATTTTGCTGTGAGCCTAAAACTGCTCTAAGTAAGCTCTTTTTAAAAGGCAAAAAATGATAATGTATATTAAATAATTTTGAATATCTAGAAAAGTGCTATAACAAGTATGGATTATCAGTATTTTAAAGTATTCTTAAACAACATAGCTAACTATGGTGTACTTTGTAAAATTCTACCAACTTGTTTTTGGTATTTGGTGAGTATGAAGGACAGTCGTCTTTTTGTGATTTGGTGACTATGTAGAATGATAGTCTTCTGAATTGCTGTAGATGCAAGAGTGCTCTCATATCTGTAAGATGCACAATTTTTCTATCAGAAACCACTAGAGGGGGTAGGCATTTGGTCTAGTGCTTAAGATGCTCACATCCCAGGGCTGGCACTGTGGCATAGTAGGCTAAGCCTCCACCTGCGGCGCTGGCATTCTATATAGGCACCAGTTCATCTCCTGATTGCTCCTCTTCCAATCCAGCTCTCTGCTTATGGCCTGGGAAAGCAGTGAAGGATGGCCCAAGTGCTTGGGCCCCTGTACCTGCATGGGAGACCCAGAAGAAGCTCCTGGCTCCTGGCTTTGGATTGGCCCAGCTCCCGCCATTCAGCCTTTTGGGGAGTGAACCAGTGGGTGGAAGACCTTTCTCTGCATCTCTCCCTCTCTCTAACACTACCTCTCAAGTAAATAAATAAAATCTTTCTAAAAAAAAAAAAAAAAAGATGCTCACATCCCATATGGGCCATATGGGGTACTTGAATTTGAATCCCACCTCCCAATTCCAGCTTCCTGCTAATATGGACCCTAGGGGATGGCAGATGATGGCTAAAGTAGTAGATCTTGTCACCCAAGTGGGAGACCTGGATTGAGCTCCCAGCTCCTGGCTTCAGCCTGGCCTGGCTGAGGATATTGTGGGCATTTGGAGAGTGAACCAGCAGGTGGAAGCCCCTACCCCTCTCTTTCTCCTATCTCCTATCTGTTTTTATCTATGTTTCTCTGCCTTTCAAATAATCGCAAATTTTATTTTATTTATTTTTTAAAGATTAATTTATTTATTTGAAAGTCAGAGTTACACAGAGAAGGAAAGACAGAGAGAGACAGAGAGAGGTCTTCCATCTGCAGGTTCACTCCCCAACTGGCCAAAACAGTCTGAAGCCAATCTGAAGCCAGGAGCCAGGAGCTTCCTCCAGGTCTCCCACACAAGTGCAGGGGCTCAAGGACTTGGGCCATCTTCCACTGCTTTCCCAGTTCACAGCAGAGAGCTGGATTGGAAGTGGAGCAGCCGGGACTCAAAGCAGCACCCATATGGGATGCCAGCATTGAAGCAGCAGCCTTACACGCTATGCCACAGTGCCAGCCCCTAATCGCAAATTTTAAAAAGGAGCACAAGCTCTTTGAGGGCAAGGACTTTGTTTTGTTCCCTTGGCACCAAGACCAGCACAAGGCACAGAGCAGGCACTGAGTAAATATTGTGAATATTTATTTGTAGCATGAATAAATGGAATTCATTAACTCAATGAGCTTTTCTTTAATATTCTTTAGTTTGCATCTTTATCAATAATAGGCTTTCTGGTCCATTGCCTGTTCCTCCTCCTTCCTCCCTCCCTTCTTCCCTCCCTCCCTCCCTTTTCATTGATTTATTTGAAAGCAGAGTTAGAGATCTTTTTTCTTTTCTTTTTTTTTTTTTTTTTAAGATTTATTTCTTTATTTGAAAGGCAGAAATACAAGGGGAGAGAGAGAGATCTTCTCTCTGTTGGTTCATTCCCCAAATGGCCACACCAGCTGCAGCTGGGCCAGGCCAAAGCCAGGAGCTTCCTCTGGGTCTCCCATGTGGGTACAGAGGCCTAAGCACTTGGGCCATCCTCCACTGCTTTCCCAGGTACACTAGCAGGGAGTTAGATTGGAAGTGGAGCAGCTGGGACTTGAACTGGTGCCATATGGGATGGGGACATTGCAGGCTAAGCTTAATCTTCTATGCCACAGCACTGGCCCAAGCCACTTGAATCATCTTCCACTGCTTTCCCAGGCCCATTAGCAAGGAGCTGGATCAGAACTGGAGGAATCCAGACTCGAAATGGTACCCATATGGGATGCTGGCTTCTTAAGTGGAGGCTGTACCCATTGTGCCACAATGTCAGTCCTGTCCCTGCTTCTTTCTTGCTCAAGGACCATGATTTTATTTGGATGTGGAATATGTGACAATTTTAGGACAGATACCAGGATTATTTTAAAGCTTTCGTTATAATTTTTTGGTAATCCCAGTGATTACCATCTCATTGGTTCTGGCCAGTGAGATGTAAAAGGTCACCTGAGGGTTCCTGGAAAGATGGTCCTTTGGGTCAGAAAGCATTCTGGGAAGAAAACCTCTTTGGCTGCCACTCAGCTCTTTCCTGCTTCTTATGTGGCAGTGTGAGCATGACGTGCTGTAAGCTGCAGCGGCTGCCTCAGAACCTGAGACAAAGGCCCAGAGAGCTGCAGATAACAGCCCAGCCTCCTGACATCATGGTCTTCACCATTTAAGTGTTGTAATTGAGTGTCCTGTCAGTTGGAGCCAAAAGCATTCTGGTCACAGGCAGGAGTTGCTGGTTAGCAGTAGATACATTGCAGCACATTTTGTAAAAGCCTCTGATAAACGTGACTAACCTATAAATCTGCTCATCCACCCTTACACAGGGCTGAGGACCAGGGTCAGCATACCTTGTCTGTACCTGTCACTCAGTTTCCCCTCACCCTGTGTCAGCAGGTCTTCAGGTGTATCTCCATATTCTAGGCTGCCCATATGAACTTATATACTCCTGTTTTCTCACCTGTTAATGATGCAAAACTAAATATTTTCACCAACCATTCTGCAGAATTGTAGTCGTGCTTTCAATGGAAGTAATCACTTAGCTTTGCAGTTTGGGAGGGATTTGATTGCCACTGCATTAATTGCCTGCCTTTTTCAGGTACCTGGTGGTTTGGTGTTAATACTCTGCAACAGGAGACCACATCTGGGAAGCACCAGGCCATTTACAATTCCAGATTGTTGCCATAAAACATTTATGGCCCTTAGATTAGTACCTTTGTTGGGACATTTTTATTACATTCTCCACTCCATGGTTATCATTCCACTCCAGACCATCATTAATTGCTGTG